TCCTCCTCCTCCTCCTCCTCTTCCTCCTCCTCCTCCGTCATGGGGTCTGGGCCTGGGCATTGTCCCTCAGCTCTTCAGCTCTACCACTTGAGCCATAGTTCCACTCCCAGATTTTTCTGCTTATGTGGTGCTGAGGAATTGACCCCAGGGCCTCATGCATACACTCTACCACTGAGCCACATTCCCAGCCCAAGAAGGAGCCATTTCTATACAATGGAGGATTTTCTATATTTCTTTATTCAGAGCACAGAGTTAAGCCTCTCACTTTCTAGTCAGCTTCTGTGTCTCTAATCAGCACATCCACCCATAACATCTTTAAACAGGCTGTCTCCAGAGGGATATCGTCTCTGAAAACAAGTGATATTTTCTCTAGAGCTGCACTGGAACTTTCTAGAATCATTCTGGGTGAGGAACTTTGGCTATTGCTAGAGATGAGACCCACCCACAGCCTCTGACCCACATTTCCAGACTCTTATCAGTTTGTGTCAGTAGAGAAAAGGGCTATAGATAAGTGAATAATGAGGCAGGGCTGCCTTTGCCCTGATGTGGGTCAGTACAACTACTGGAGAGGGGATTGGAGGGGGGGGGGGGCTTTAGATCCCTGCTCGTGCCTTCAGGCAACATTGTGTGTGTGTGTGTGTGTGTGTGTGTGTGTGTGTGTGTGTAGGGGGGTGGGGTAACTGGAACTTATATTCAGGGCCTGGGCACTATCCCTTAGCTTTGTCACTCTACCCACTTGAGCCACAGTTCCACTTATAGCTTTTGGCTGGTTAATTGGAGACAAGATCCTCAGATCTCAGCCTCCCAAATAGCTAGGATTATAGATGCAAGCCACTGATGCCTGGCAAAGGCACCATTTTAAATAAAGGACTATAAAGCATGCAAATATAATGTCTTGCTTTATTCTATACATGTATGACTGCCAGGCAAGTCCAGAAGCACTCTGTTATGTATCCTAAGAACTTACGTTAATTCTATTAATTAGATCACTTTGGACATTGAGTAAGCACTAATTATAGGTCACAGTATACAATTTATAGATAGCTGGGGAAAACAGTTCAACCACATGCTTTGTGGTAGTGGTGATGATGCTTTTTCACATAAGTTTCGTAATTTCCACTAATCCAATTTTTTAAAATCTGTTACAAAGAGTTAGGTGCCTGAGGCCCATGCTTGTCATCTGGAGCCTCTCAGGAGGCTGAGATCCAAGGATTGCCATTCAAAGCCAGACCAGGCAGGAAAGTCTATGAAACACTTACCTGCAAATAACCACCAAATGGAAGTTGAGTCAGAAGTGGCTCAAGTGGTAGAGTGCCAGCTTGGAGAAGAAAAAGCTCAGGGACAGTGCTCAGGCCCTGGGTTTGAGACTCAGGACTGGAATGCATGTACACACCCACACACCCACACACACACACACTCACATACACATATACACATACATAATGAAAAATCCATTACAAAGTCATTCTTAAATCATTTGCAGGGCTCTCTGGCTTGCCATTGTCATAATGAAATTCCTTCTTCAACCTAAACAATGGCTTTAATTTTTGGTGCTGTGGTAGGAAAGGAATGTGACCAGAGGCTTGGCAAGCAACTAAGCTTGCATTTTTTCTGCTGTTCATACATGTTTCCAAATGTACTTAACATTTTTTTTCTCTCCTTTAAATCCATCTCCATTTCCATACCAACAAAAGACTTTAGAACACAAGTTTTAAAAAGAAAAACACAATCCCAGCCTTTCTAAAAAAGTGAAGTCCTGGCTTAAATGAAATGCTCCCTTAGTGAAAAGCCAGGAGTTATTTCACTAAGTAAAGCCAAAAAAGAAAGTGCTCTCTCACAGATTCCAAAGATTGGCATTTTTTCAACCCCTACTTCTGCCCGCGGGGATCTCAACCCTGTCAGGCCTCTGTAATTTGAACACCCATGAAAAAGGAACCTCTCTTGACCCTTTGCCTACTTTTTTCTGTGGCTAAAATAGGCTGCATCTCTCTAGGAGCTTGATGGGAAGAAAAATATTTCTTCCTTTCATTCAGCATTAACTCAGTGCAAAACACTAAGCTAGAAACTTTGAGGAAAGTTGGGATGATTAAATCCTATCTTTTTTATAGATTTATAATCTGTTGGTAGGGGAAAGAGAGTAAGAAGAAGAAAAGAGGGCTGGGAAGGTGGCTCAGTGGTAGAGCACTTGCCTTGCATGCATGAGGCCGTGGGTTCAATTCCTCCGCACCACATAAGCAAAAAGAAAAAAGCTGGAAGTGGCGCTGTGGCTCAAGTGGTAGAATGCTAACCTTGAGCTGAAGAGCTGAGGGACAGTGCCCAGGCCCAGAGTTCAGGTCCCACGATTGGACCCCCCCCCCAAAAAAAAAGAAAAAGAAAAGAAAGAAAGAAAGAAAGATTGTAGAATTTCTTTTCACAATCTCACATAAATTAGCTCAGATTTGTCTTGGATTAGTGGTAAAACTTATGCCTAGGAAGCACAAGGCTCTGAGTTCAAACCCCAACGTGTTTAATACCAGTGAACTGCATTTAAAAAACAGGTACATCAATTGCTGGGCACTGGTGGCTCACACCTTGCTACTCAGATGGCTGAGATCTAAAGATCATAAGTCCAAGTCACCCCAGGGAAGAAAGTCTGTGAGTCTCATAATTTCCAATTAAATAGCAAAAAGCCAGAAGTAGATAGAGTAGCTCAAGTGATAGAGTGCCAGTCTTGAGAGACAAAACTCAGAGCCAGCAACAGGCCCTGAGTTCAAGCCTCAATGTCCTCCCCTCCCTGCCAAGAAAAAGAAAAAACACTAGATGAGACAGTAAATGTTCTGTTTTGTATGGGAAAGAACCAAAATGCTTTAGAACAATGTGAATCCTTGCCATGATCTTCCTGTTAAATATCTTGTTACAGATTCGTACATCCGTGACCACTTTGTTATTTCCCAAAAGACCTTTCAGCTGGATAAGACATTTCCTGATTGCAGTCATAATTATCGCACTTAATAATGTCCTGGTCATCCTTGTGCCAACGATAAAATACATTTTTGGATTCATAGGTAAGTTTCAGACTCTGGTAACATCCTCCTTTCTTCCAAGTGACATGGGGAGCTTACTCTCTGATTTCATCCAGTTGCCTTTCCTGACAGATGAGGAAACTAGGCCTCACAGGACTCAAGTCCTATACCTTGGGGTGGACCCAAGATTTGGACATGGGTCACAACTCCGCCATCAAGGACAGGAAAAGACAGTCACATAATGGAAGCCCGCTGACATCTAGGAGAATCAGCTGAGGGTTAAATGACATCCTTAGAGAACTAGGAATTTGATTTTTTTAAGCATATTATTTCTGTTAACTCTATGATCTATTAATATATTTAACTTTTCATTCTACAAGTAGAAATTTTACTCAAATTTTGCATGGGGGGGGGTGGTTTGCTGGAAATTGAATCCAGGACTGTGTATAAGCATAAGAGTCTGAGATTAGACTACTTAAAAAAAAATGAATGTGGGAACAGGAGGGAAAAACTAGGAGAGTAAGGGAAGTGGTGACATTGTCCAAAAGGAAATATTACCTGACTTACGTAATAGTAACCCCTCTGTGCATCACCTTTATAACACAATAAAAAATAAAATTAAAATGTTATGGTTGGCTCATGATTGGAACTCAGAACCTTATGCTTGCTAGGCAGGTGCTCTAGCACTTGAGCCACACCTCCACCCCTAGCTTTCTCTGGTTATTTTTGGAGATGGGCTCTGTATTACAGACTTTTTCTACTAAACTGGCCTTGAACTATAATCTTCCAAATCCCAGTTTCCTGATCAGTTAGGATTCCAGGTGTGAGCCACCAGTAACTGACTCTAGTTTGTTTTCTGAGATGGAATCTCAGAAACTTTTTGCCTGGCCTGGCCTCAAACCTTGATCCTCGTAAGTCGTTAAGCTTACAGACTGGAACCACTGGGCTGAGCAGATAGAGACAACTGGAAATGAAAGAGGTGAATAAGAAGCATGTTTAAAGAATTTATGGGGGGGGAGGCAAGGAGAATGTATAGCCTTCTTAATATATCCTTGTAGTACTAATCTTTTGTATATTTGTATTAAGTTTAGTCCTACATTTACAATATATGCCTTTGCAACTATGAGGTCAGGCATATTTTCACTTGCTTTATAAACATGGCTCGTAGGAATAGGCAATAAATATGAACATATGTGGTTAGGTGTGTGTTTTGGGTGCTAAAAAGAACCACAGTTCTATTTGGTTTCTCTAACATATATGGTCTCAGGTATATGCTTTGCAGAAAAGACTACCTCGTACATCATGACCTATCCTGTGTCTCTCTCTCCTCAGGGGCTTCTTCGGCCACGATGCTGATTTTTATTCTTCCAGCAGTTTTTTATCTCAAACTTGTCAAGAAAGAACCTCTTCGATCACCCCAAAAGGTTGGGGTAAGTAACATTTGCAATCACCCCCCCATTCCCAGTTGCTCTCGACTTGGAATACATCAGAAAATAGTCAAAGCTCACAAAAAGAAAAGAAAAGGAACCCAAGATGAGCTGAAACCTCATGGTGGAAAAAAAGATGGTTTTCTAGCTAGATGTGGCAGAGGCTACGTTTCTTCTATGCCTCTTGCATGGGCTTGCAGGATTTCTGTATTGCTTACCAGGTTTTGATGCCAGGTTGGAGCTGTACTGTCCCTATAACATGTAAATATATATATATATATATATATATATATATATATATATATATATATCAGGAAGGAATTAGACTCCCCACCAGTGTTAGAGAATCATGCACACATGTGTTATCTGTGAGATTTGCCAGAGCTAATCCTTGTTTACATTTCTCTTTTATCATTCTCTTACTTTTCCCCTGGTTTGAACTGAGGTGGGAAACATACCGTTTGTTGCCAGTTAATCTTTTTAGGTATAAAGTATCACTTTATTAAATTCAGGCGTGTACAAGCCTTTTCCACAATCGTCCTACAGAAAAATACACTAGAAATGATTGCTTCTCTAGTAGTCAGATAGTATCACTGACTACTTAAGAAGGCCTTGCATGAGGGTTTTACAAGCTCCTTACTCATTTACTACGCATTCATGACTGGAGGTTACTCCCCTGTCAGGATTGTTTGGTGTTATAAGCTCCTTGCACTATTTTGCCACTGGATTTTGACTCTTTGAATGTTATGTCTAGCTTGTTGCAGCAATGTGGCCTGGGCACCTTGCTTATTTTATTTATGACTCACATGCAGAATGACCAGATGTAAAATGAGCAAAATTAGCCTGGTGCCTGTGGCTCACATCTGTAATAGCTTCTCTGGAGGCTGCAATCTGAGGATCGTGGTTTGAAGTCAACCCAGGCAGAAAAGTCTGTGAGACTCTTATCTCCAATAAATAACTCAGAAAAAGCTGGAACAGGCATCATGGCTCAAGTGGTAGCATGCTAGCCTTGAACACAAAGAAGCTCAGGGACAGTGCCCTGGCCCAAGACTGGCAAATAAAAAAATATTGATCTACCAGGTACTGGTGATACCTGTAATCCTAGTTACTTAGAAGGCTTAGATCTGAGAGTCATGGTTCCAAGCAGCCTGGGCAGGAAAGTTCATGAGATTCTCATCTCCAATTAACCACCATAAAGCCAAAGAGGATCTATGGCTCTAGTGGTAGAGTACTAGCTTCGAGTACAAAAGTTTAGGGAGCGTGCCCAGACCTTGAGTTCAAGCCCAAGACTGGCACGCGCGCGTGCAGGCACACACACACACACACACACAGAATATTATTATTCAAGCCAGCTATGGCTTGACCATAATCTTAACCTACTTGGGACATGAAAAATGAGAGAACTGTGGTTTGCAGTTCAATCCAGTCCCTGCAATAAATAAATAAACAAACAAACACAAAAACAAAACCTACTGAGAACTTAACATAGGTGTATGGAGGTGTCAGTGCATGCCTGGGCAGGAAGTAAGGTCCTACCTTCAAACTTAGCAGCCAAAAAAAACAGGACTGGAGGCATGGCTCAGCAGTAGAGCCCTTGCTCAGCAAACAACATGCAAATCAGATTGCCCTCCCACAACAAATTGGTCAGGAATGGTGCGTTTTCCCTCACAAGTTCTCTGTGCATTACAGGCATTGATCTTCCTTGTGACTGGAATTATCTTCATGATGGGAAGCATGGCCCTCATTATAATTGACTGGATCTACAACCCTCCAAATTCCAAACACCACTAATCCAAGGAAAAAAATATGTGTCCCTTTTTTTTTCTGTTGCAAATGTTGGCGAGTTATACTCCCCAAAAGACACTTTGACTTACTGTGATTGGGCCGATATTTCATAGGAACTAGCCAGAAGATTCCAGAGATGTTCGCTTAGGAGTGTCACCAGACACCTGCAAAAGATAAAATTAAGGTGGTTTTTGTTGTTGTTGTTGTTTTTGTTATTGTTGTTTTGGGGTTCCATTGTTTGTTTTTTCCCCGCTTTGGTCAACAATGGCTGAAGCTATGTTTCAAGCCTGCAGTGCACATTTCTCCCCAGGTTGGACTTGAGCACAGGGAGGTGATCAGGGTGTCCTTTTGTCGATGCACAAGCAGAATAAAGGCAACTTCGTGTGATGGTCAGCAGATACCAGCCTTTCCCCTACCCACTCCCCACCCTTCACCCCTGCAGAGTAGTACAAAGTTGCCCTCTCAGAACATCAAACCCAAATGCCCTGGTAGCAAAGCTATCACCACTTAATCATGCCTTACCCTATCATGCAGCAAATACTCTGGGTCTGAGGACTAACAGGGTCAAAAGGTGCCAGGCCCACCTAGTGAATGGTTGCTGTAAGGTCACATCCGGAATCCCATACCAGTCTAGCGTGCTTCATACCAGCCCTAATGAGCAGTTTGCCCATCCTGCTTCTGAGAGTGAATGAATGACCTCATCGATGGATATTAGGATGAGAGAGACTCTATTTCAATTAGAGAGAAACAACTAAAAAGAATGTTTATAGCTGACCTGCCCACTGAGAAAGCCTCTGTGTGTGTGTGTGTGTGTGTGTGTGTGTGTGTGTGTGTGTGTGTGTGCATCTCTTTTAATGGCCTTTGTCCTGCTTTTGTCCTGAACAAGGTTCTGCCTCTCTAGTCTTCCATTTTCATTCAGAATCTTCAGAAGATCACAGTGCATGGTGGTGACACATTACCCAGTATTGTTGGATAAATTTTTATTTGATAAAGAAAACCTTCAGTGCAGGAAACTGTGATTTGCTATATATGTATGTATATAATCTTGTTCTGTAGTCAGAATGTTAATGTGTCGTACATTAGATTTTTCTTTTTTATGGGTGTAGTTTTCTTCACAGTGGGACAGAGAAGTCAACTGGAGGGCTCCAAACCATTTGCATTGTATTTGTTTATTGGGGACATTTTAAATTTGAAATCCAAGTTATATATAGAGTTCGGTAATGCTCTTCTTCATTGTTTACACTTATCATATAAAAAGAAAGAAAGAAGGAAAGAAAAAAAGAAAGAAAGAAAGAAAGGAAAAAGGAGGAAGGGAAAGAAGGAAGGAAGGAAGGAAGGAAGGTTGGTTCTTTGTGAATGATTGTCATTGCCAAGGTTGTTTTTTTAATTTAGCATGACTGAACTAGGATTTCATCCATTTTAGATTGTATTTGTATCTCCTGATATTTCATTTATCCTTTAACGCAACATTGAGTGATTCTCCATAGAAAGAAAAGTGTTAACACTGAAAGCAAATGCAAATGACCATTGATTTTACTCACTTCCAAATCTTCTTATCTGGAGTTAACAGTTACTACTCAGCCATGTGCAGGTGGCTCATGCTTGTAATTCTAGCTATTCAAAAGGCTGAGCCATGAGGTTTGGTGTTCAAAACCAGTCTCAGCAGGCAAATCTTAGAAACTCTTATCTCCATTTAACATGTGAAAAGCCAGAAGGTGAGGTGTGGCTCAAATAGTACAGCACCAGCCTTGAGTGAAAAAAATCAAAAGAGCACAAGATCCTGAGTTCAAGCTCCAATACCAGCATGCGCGCACACACACACACACACACACACATTCTCTATTCAGTACCTAGAATTTCAAAAGCTCACTAGGATGTTTTTGAAATCAATACCAAGAAGATTTGTATATTTTACACTTTGTAAAGCCAAATATGAAATATAAGTATCATATGAATATAATCATACTAAATCCTACTTCAGATTCATTTTGGAATATATGTTTATGAAAGTGTATTTGTTTTATGCATTAGTTTCTAAAGTCTGTAAAAAAGGTATACTCTTGTTATGGAAATTGAGCATTATTAGAAACTATAATAACTTTTAAATTACTATTATGTGAGGGTGGGGGTGGAATCGCCAAACAGCAAAAAACAGAAAATGGAAAACAGTATCTTTTGAATGTTAAAAAAAAGGTTGAATCTGAACATATTTAGATGTAAATATCAAAGATCCAAGAATCTTGGAAAACTGTAAAATCTGTACATACTTTGAATGCTTTACACTTAAATGTAACTTGAAAGCATCCACATATTTAATTATATAAATATTCAAGAGCAATAATACAGTGCCAAGTAATAAAACATCTTTTTTAATTGTCTTTTTCTTGGGGGGGTGGGGGGTCCTGGCTGTTTTCAGGACTGGAGTTCATACACACTGCAGGACAGACATATATTGGGTATCTTGTGCTGGTTAATTTAACCCCACTTGTAAACAGATAAAAGTTTTTATTTTCATATTTCATTTATAAGATGGTTTTGGTGTATTAGGAGGCTTTTTTTTATTACAGAAAGTGTTTATTGGTATATAATAAATGAACTTTGCAAATGAACATAATGTGTTTTTCCTTCCTTCAAGTTTATGCATTACTTGTATTTTTTTGTTTTTTTTTTGTTTTGTTTTGTTTTGTTTTGTTTTTTTGTCGGTCATGGGGCTTGAACTCTGGGCCTGGGCGCTGTCCCTCAGCTCTTCAGCTCAAGGCGAGCGCTCT